AGGTCTGGTGGAGGAAAATTGAGCATCTTCGCATACTAGCCAAATATTTATTGGGGCAGTCTAATAGAACTCCCGATAATTTTTTCCAAACATTCTAAGCGTTCCAATTAAATATTTATTTTTTTTACTTTCCGAGCGTTAGTTAAGGAAGTACATATTGTAATAGGGTCTATCCGATGAAAAGTTGCTTTTATGTTTTCTCGACGTTTCATGACCCCTACATTACGAAAAAGTAGGTCCTGTGTTTTCGTATATCTGTCGTCTGGCGTCTGTCTGTCTGTCTGTCTATTTTTATTAGACAGATAGTCTCCAAAACTACTGGACCGAATGCCGTCAAATTTTATAAATGTATTAGGAATATCGCTTAGATGGAAATACGTTAATCAAAATTTGTCTAATTAATCTCACCAAGAATAGGATGACGTCACCTTTAAAATTTACAATAGTAAACGTTGTTTAAATTTTATATTTTACCCTATACATCACCATTTAAAAAAAAATCAAAATTATATTACAACATTTTGCAACTTATCTTTGAAAGTAATAAACCGAATACTCGGAAATCTTGCAAGCGTTGTAAATCGTAAATAAAAATTTTTTCGAATAAATCTTTTCAAGAATATATAAAATATTATGAATCTATGGTTGTAGTTTATAGATACAATGATATTTTTTAGAATTACTTACAAACACAGGGTGACTCAAAAAATGTATGAATGAGGCAATCTATTTTATTGATAACCATAAATTGAGTATACTGTATTATTATTGGTATTAACTGCAACTATTTAACTCCTTGATAAAGTGTTGATGATGTCATTGCAAAATTTTGTTATAGAAAAACTCACTTGGAACAAATGCATGTCATGCTCCTTTATCTATGTATACTTTCACAATCCACATATGTCTTTATTGTTACACAAGTTATCATAAAAAATTAAATTCGGAAAATAAATTTTATAATTTTTCGAAAAATCTGTATTTGTTCTCCTGGATTTCAGGGGCGAGGGAAGTACTGTTTAAATAACGGTAGTCCAGTTTTTGAATGAAAAATGATAAAGATGCAAGGGTTTTTTAATGCAATGCTCCCAGGATCTTTGCATTTTTAAGGAAACAAAAAGTGGCAGAGTTCCACCATTTTTAAAAAGGTTCAATTTTATTTATATAGGGTGATTAAAAATGGTACTATATAAAATATAAGAAAATTCGTAATAATCAGTTTTTCAAAAGGAACAGTGTGTAATTCGCAATATTTTCGAACTTATTATCATTATTATTATTAATAATGCAGCAGCTTTCAAAAAAATGCAAAAATAGGTGACACAAAAGGAAATCCAGAAATACTATTTCTCGTAATAGTTTAAACAATAAAATTATACTAAAACAATACGTTTAAGATATTGTTTTTCCTTTGGGTATAGCTATTTTGAACACTTTTTTTGGAAAATATTTTCCCACTTTTCGCACTTATTTCATGATGTTAATAAAAAATAATTTCAATTTTGTAATTTATGGAAAATATTTAATAAGCCAGCATTCTCTACCAACAAAATGAACCACGTTTTAAATGTTTTTAAAAAATTTTTGGAAATTAATTTACACTTTGTAGCACTGATTTGAAGAAATATAGACAAAGTAACTTCCAATTCGTAATCTACCACTAATCCGTCATATATTTGCGCTTTTTTATGTTAATTGGGGCCGTTTTTTTTTTGGAAAATTTTTGGAATTATTGTTTTCTTCACTATTTTCTGATTTTTTTTGTAAGGAATGAAAGAAAAACTTCGGAATTCGGAAAAAAAGTGATGTCTCTTGCTGGAGACCGCAAACGCGATAATGTGTTTAGCTGCTTTGCAATTTTATATTGGTTATTTCCAGATCATCATCTATAAAACTCAACTTCCATAATGATATTTCATTATAACAAAAATAGAAGTTCCCCGCCCACCCACCCATCTTTTAATCTGATGTATACATCAAAGAGAAAAACTCCTTTCCATGAAAATTTTATTAACAAAAGCCCTTTATTTACGCAAAAAAGTAACATAATAATTGATTTCTTGTATAGATAATCAAATTTTTTAGTTCGTTAGACATTAAACAAATTTTTAGATAAGATGATGTATTTTCTTGCATGTTAAGATCGTGAGGTTGTCGAAGCTAAAAAATAACACTTCTGGACATTTTAAACAAGATCAATGCGAATAAATGTAAAAAATTGGGCGACATTTTTATTTCATTTCTCAAAAATTCGTCGAAATTTTGTAAATCTTGAAAACTGATTTTTCTTACGGAACATAAATGTCATGATTTATTTATCTAAACACCGTTGAGACTAAAAAATGCAAGACCGGCTTTGAAATTTGATCTTGATTATCTCAAAAATCGTCAAAATTTTCAGTTGAAGATCAAGAACTAAAAAAAATTATACATCTTTTCTATCTTCGTTGTAAGCAAATTATTTCCAGATTAGTCATTTATAAAGCTCCATTTCCATAAAGATATTTCATTATAGTAAAAATAAAAGTTGCCTGCCCAGCCACCCATATTTTAATCCGATATCTACAACAATGAGAAAAACTCTTTCCATGAAAATTTTCTAAACAAAAGCCCCGTTGATACTAAAAATGAAAGACCTACTTCGAAATTTGCTCTTGATTATCTCAAAAATCGTCAAAGTTTTCAGTTACAGATCAAGTATTTACTAAAAAAAAATCTTCTCTATCTTCGTCGTAAGCCAATTATTTCCAGATCAGTCATCCATGAAACTCAATTTCCATAAAGATATTTCATTACATTCAAACGTCTCCAATCTTCAAATATCGTTATTTTATTGATTAATCTTCCGGAAAAGAGCATTCGATTTTTGACAAAAACAGTCTTCAAACAAAACACAAGATATGGCCTCCCCTAGTCTGATCTGACCTGACATGAACAAATCAAAACAAAACTACTTGTAGTGGAAAATACGTGGTTGCAGTATTGAACAAACAGTTATTGAAGTTGAGAATACTTTAAAACAAAATCTTTCTAATGCTATAAAAAATTACAGAAATATATACAGGGTGAGTCACTACGCGCGCGATCCTTCATATCAAATTCATAATTAGAGACAGAAAAAAAAAGTTCAGGTTGAAGCTGTCCGGTTTTTTAAGAAACATATATTACAATTATTTTTGACTATACAGAGTGTATTGTTTTAAGGAATGCCAGAGAACCTTTTTTTGAGGTAGAACAGCCTATGTATTTTTACATATTCTCATTAGCTTTACAACCATCGTTTATTTTTTAAATTTTGGTACAACGTTGCCACGTTCTTTGAATTTTATTATTGTTTTTTAGATCTTCGGTTATCAGAAAATCACAATAATTTTGTTTTTAAGATCAGTTTTGCAACATTTTATAAAGAGTGTTCATTAAAAACGTACAACGTTCCAATCTTCAAATATCGTTATTTTATTATTGCTACTCTATTTTTTGTTCTCATTGTTTCTTAAAAAAGTAAAAAAATACAGTAAATTTTAAATATACAAAGTATTCAACGAAAGACAAAGAGAACAAAAAATAGAATAAGATGCACTAATAAAATACGTGTTTTATTTGAAAATACTAAAATATCGACATTCTGTGTATTAGGAGTCAATTTTATTTATATCACAAGACACGTACTTTGATCCTTCTACAAAATATTGGAACACGGATTTTAAAAATAAAAATAAAATTACAAGAAATTTGGAATAACGTGACAATGTCGCAATTGAATTTCAAAAATAAATTGTGATTATAAAGCCTAAGAAGAACTAAATCAAAACATGTAAAAATATACAGGATGCTCCATTTGAAAAAACTAAGTTGTGTGTTACGCCTTAAAAACAGAACATTGGAAATAATTTGAGTGTATGGTCCTTAAAGAATTGTACAACTTTCGTTGAAAACTTTTTTCTGTTTCTAGTAGTTAATAACATATCGAGACGCGCGCGTGCAGTAACTCATCCTGTATATTAAGTAATTAGTTTTTAATGTAACTGTCAGCAAATAAAATAATACGAGTTAAAAATTAACTTGTTGTGGAGATACATGGACTAAGCATTTTATCAGCGACCAGAAAAAACAGGACAGACATGAAGCACTTCATAATAGAGTTTCTGAAATTAATTTTTCATAAAAAAGAAAAAATGAATGTAGACAAGGGATAAAACATAGCAATTATGAACGAGGGGAAATTAAATGAATAATTAAAACAATATTACGAAGTAAAAAGTGCTTAAAAAAAACAGCGACGATGAAAATTAAATGCATCTTCTCATGAAAAATAAAATAAATATTAGAAGGTCTCACAAACTGAAAAAATTATGACAATCGCTACAGAATTCGTTCATTATTCGATTTCATGTGAAAATCATCACTAAATTGCGAAAACATAAAATTTTCCATTTTGTTATACAGGGTGTGTTTGGAAAAGATCGCTAAAAATATTTTTATTTAAGTTAACAATAAATTACATAGTTATTTTGGATGTAGTTACTACTACAAGTCAGAGTCCAAACAAAGTGAAAAATTAATAGCTCTATAACATTCACTTATAATGCTTGGCTCTTTTCTGGTCACAGTATATGTCAGTAAAACTTATTAAGCAATTGTGGTACACCCTATGTATGTATTGTATGTACGTACAACGTACTTCCCATTATTTCAACATTTTGTTGGCTCAACTTTGTTTATAATTGATTAAGTAGATGTATCTATTTGTATAACATGTAGGTACATATACAAAATTCATTATAGCTGTAAAATTAAAAAAAAAAAACATAAAGAAACGTATAAATATACAAAACTTGACAAAGTATCCAAGCAATCTCATCGCTGACAGAAGTAGAACCTTGTGGCACACACGGCCCATAAACCAAAGTGATTTACTGCAGCAAAAATTGCACATACGCGCCAAAAGTTAGGTTATGACTATTCTAAATTTACGTGTACCAAAATCACCAATCCCTCACCTTCAAACCCTATTGTCAAAACCTCTTCGGTCCCCTAACATCATCAGCCAGTCCCGCTCGCACTTGCTGATCTTTGGCCACACTTCTAACCTCACCTTAACGAGCCACCCCTGTTTATTTGAACTCAGATTATTAAAACAAACACAGAACCCGTTCAGCGTAGCGATTGATTTATTCGGAATTTTTTCGCGTTCCGGATCAGCTGAAACGCTCGAGATGTTATTCTGAAGAGTATTTTTTTGTGTAAGTGGTAAGGAACCTGGCGCTCAACTGAAATAAGATGGAAGGAAGACAGAAATAGTGCGGCTATTAATACTCTGAGACAGTGACGGAGGCAAGAGTTTTGTTTTAATTATGGGAAGGACGTGTGGTTCAATAAACGAACGTGGGGATTTTTATTGCCATCAAATTAAACAAGCGCGATTGGCGGTAGGCGGGGGGAATTAGGACGATGACGGCGAGGTGAGCGTCAGATGGGAAGCTGAGGTAGGGTGTGACGTCACGGTGGAAAGAAAGCATGAGGAGGGAAGTAGTCGAAACGTAGCTTTTGGGTGAGATTTCGTAACTGTTTGTCTGTTTGTGTAATTAAGTCATCATGACGAAGACCCAACTTGATTTTTTCTTTTGAAGTTTCAAAGCTCGTACAATACGAAAGTGTCTATCTCCAGTTTTCATCTACCTGTATATTTATGTGTTGTTCGTCTGATGAAATTTTATTTGCTTTTTTTTTTATTTTAAAAAGTAAAATTCGGCAGATGGTATTATCCTGTAAAAGAACTAGGACAGCTGGTAATTATAAACAATAAACTAAGCCGTCTGGAAAGCATTAAAGGCTACTGGACTACTGTGTAGAATATGGGAAGAAGTTGAGTTCTATCTTCTGCCAAGAGTCAGTCGAGAAAGATAAACTCAGTGGCCGGCTCAATCACTCGACTTAAATCTTTGCAATTTTTACTTCCCGAGCGTAAGCAAAGGAAGTATTGTAATCGAGTCCGTCGGCCAACTCTCTACTTTTACGTTTTCTCGATCTTTCATGACCCCTAGAAGACGAAGAAATAGGTCTCCCATTTCCGTCTGTCTGTCCGTCTGTCCGTCTGTCCGTCCGTCTGTCCGTCCGTCCGTCTGTCCGTCCGTCTGTCCGTCTGTCCGTCTGCCCCCGGATTTTTATTAGACAGATAATCTCCGAAAGTACTCGACCGATTGTTGTGAAATTTTGTACTTATATTAAGAATATCATGTAGATGGTAAAACGCTAAACAAAATTTGTCTAATCATCCCCACCACTAATGCCATGACGTCACTTCAAAATTGTACATAGTAAATGGGTTTTCAATTGTATAAAATAACATAGTCCTACACATGTAGTTTACAACTCCGAATCGACTTTTCACCCGAAACGTCCAGATTTTTGGAAAAAAAATCAAAATTATAAAACAACATTTTGAAATTTAATTTTTAATCTGCTAACCAGAATGCTTTGAAATGTTGCAGATGTTTTAAGGCTATAAAGAGCATCATAAATCTTTAGTCAAAAAATATTTGCTTACCCCCTCCAAAAACTTGATGACGTCAGCTCAAAAGTTTGTGGAATAAATCATATCTAAAATGTACAAAATATGATGAGTCTGTACTTGTGATCTATCACTCCATTCATATTTTTTGGATTTGCATATACAGGGTGACTCAAAAAAATTAATGAATGCGTAAATATATTTTATTGATTTAATCAGGAACTACAAAACCGAATGCTCTGAAATCTTGCAGATGTTTTAAGGTCATAAAGAGCATAATAAATGTTTAGTCAAAATATATTTGCTTATCCCCTCCAAAAACTTGATGACGTCAGCTCGAAAGTTTGCCGAATAAATCATATCTAAAATGTACAAAATATGATGAGCCTGTACTTGCCATTTATCACTCCATTCATATTTTTTGAATTTGCATATACAGAGTGACTCAAAAAAATTAATGAATGCGTAAATATACAGGGTGTTATTGAAAGGTACGTACAACAAAATGGACAGTTCTTCGCCAAGTCTAAGAAGTCGGAAAAACTTATTTTGTCTTATCAAAATTTTAAGGGGAAAATTAACCCTTATCCAATCTTTTTAGACGCTACTGAAGGATAAATAGGTAAAATTAATTTATTTTAGTAAATCCTAGCAACTGTAACAATAAAATATTTGTCAAGACTAAATGTTGCTATAGAAACGAAAGATGATCTTTTTATCAGAGGCGTACAACGAATTTGGACATAAATTTTAATAATTTTTATCTCTAAAAGGAGAACACTTTTACCTGAACTTTTTTTAAATTTTAGCACCCATACTTCGAGACCAACTGCCGATTTTATTTTGTACGTACCTTTCAATAACAGGCTGTATTTTATTGATTTAATCAGGAACTACAAAACGGAATGCTCTGACATCTTGCAGATGTTTGAAGGTTATAAAGAGCATAATAAATGTTTAGTCAAAATATATTTGCTTATCCCCTCCAAAAACTTGATGACGTCAGCTCGAAAATTTGCCGAATAAATCATATCTAAAATGTACAAAATATGATCAGTCTGTACTTGTGATCTATCACTCCATTCATATTTTTTGGATTTGCATGTGATTCAAGAAAATAAATGAAAGCGTAAATTTATTTTATTGATTTACTCAGGAACTACAAAACCGAATGCTTCGAAATCTTGAAGATATTTTAAAATTATCATAAGCATGGTAAATTTTTGATCAAAATGTATTTGGTCGTCCCCCCTAAAAAATTTATGACGTCACCACAAAATTTTGCTGAATAAATCCTATCTAAAATGTACAAAATATGGTGAGTCTCTTCTTGTGATTTATCATTCCATTCAAATTTTTTCGATTTGCATATACAGGGTGACTCAAAAAAATTAATGAATGCGTAAATTAATTTTATTGATTTAATCAGGAACTACAAAACCGAATGCTTTGAAATCTTGCAGATGTTTTAAGGTTATAAAGAGCATAATAAATTTTTAGTCAAAATATATTTGGTTATCTTCTACAAAAAACTGATGACGTCAGCTCAAAAGTTTGCCGAATAAATCGTATCTAAAATGTACAAAATATGATGAGTTTGTACTTGTGATTTATCATTCCATTCATATTTGTGGATTTGCATATGCAGGGTGACTCAAAAAAATTAATGAAGGCGTGAATATATTTTATCGATTTAATCAGGAATTACAAAACCGAATGCTTTGAAATCTTGGGAATATTTTAATGTTATTATAAGCATGGTAAACTTTTGTTCAAAATGTATTTGTTCATCCCTCCTAAAAAAATTGATGACGTCACCCTTAAATTTTGCTGAATAAATCCTATCTAAAATGCAAAAAATATGATGAGTTTGTACTTGTGATTTATCATTCCATTCATATTTTTTAGATTTTCTTAAGAGGTGGTTCAAAAAAATTAATGAAGTCAATTTATTTTATTGATTAAATTAAAGGCAACACTTATTATTAGTATTACACCCCAACCAACCCAATTTGGTAGACACAAAATTTGTTAAAGGAAAAACTCGGTTGAAACATAAGGGTAGCATCGCTTATTTACATCGACTTTAACATTACAGACCTGCATTTGTTTTATGCGATCACTTGGTTCCGCGAATGTGAAATAGACATGTTTATAATCAACCAATTGTGAATTTCACCGTCAAGAATTAAAATAAAACCCAATGTTTTATATAATAAGCGGAAGTCGAAGCAATAAAACCGATGGTCGTTTTGTTTACAGTTTCTCTGTTTGACTTTCACGTATGCTGTTACGCTTGTCATCTTAAATTAAGAATGTTTATACATAAACGATTTTCAGTTGCCGTATACGCGAGTAAATTGTTTCGTTATTTTATTGATTATAAAAAATCAATATTCAAAACGACCCAATTCATTTTCCCGAAAATTTGGGAATACAATAATTTTATTCTTAGTATTACACTACATCTTGTGACTTTTCAGTCTTAAATGTTATTTTGTTTGTTTGCAGGGCGTGGGTTTGTGTAGGCAATGAGTGAAATAATTTCCAAAAACTATATTAACATAATAATATGCATATGCAACACACAAAACATAAAGGGCGCCAGTCGTTTTTTTTCTATTTTTGAAAAAACGACAAAACAAACATTTGAATAGGTGTTTTGAGCTTTTCCTTTTTTTTTTTATATTTTGCACTGTGATTATTTGTGGCTCAGCACACTAGTCTTTATAACACTAGAATCTTAAACAAGTTAAAATTGATATCTAAACAAAATGAGCTTACAATTACAATTACTCGACCACCAGAAGCTATACTGATAAGATTTGTATACTGATCTTTGACTGATATACTTTTATTGCTATAACATTGAAATTCAAAGAAATATCTATTATGGAGCTTGGAACTTTTCTTTTCGGAAAATGAGCATTCGTGTACTTGAGCGTAATGATAAGTACCACCTGGAGCTGCCGCAAGACAACAAAAACTCTCCCCAAATGGGTGAGACTGGCCGCTAGACCCCCAAAGAACCACTCATAATATCACTAGACATAGGGTTAGCCCCTTTACAATACGTTAATAACAAGATCTAAATTATTAACTCTCTCGGACCTAACCTGTTTCTAACCTAAAAATACCTATGTTTACAAGGAATTTTCCTTATGATATTGTGCGGGCAACAAGCAACCTAGAAGGTGTTCACCATGGGGTTGTGGCCTCCAGTTTTAAGATATTGAGGTACTGGAACTCTGCTACTTGCGCTGGTGGTCGCTACTTCCACAGATAAGGTGCTACCCCCGTGGGGATGGTTCCCTGGGTGTCATCAATCGGTTCCCGAATCGTTACTCCTAGCACAACTTTCTACGGAGTTGAAGATGATACCAATTACCAGCTCAATCCAAGTAGCGAATGACTCCAGTGATCAAAATTGACGAATATTTCATGTTCCAAACTCGATAGTTAAAACCTAGGAAGTGGTGTTTTATTGACATGTTTATTTTAAGAGATCTCATGTGACTTTTATTTAAATATGAAATTTTGACTCACCTAGGTCTCATAGGTTTATTAAAATCTTCTTTAATTGTTTAAAATGGCTTGAAATCTTGGTTTTTATTTCACGTTTCAGACAACCACCATTTTGTCCAAAATCTTATCAGCAAACCCTTTTTTGTTCGCCTGACGTTGTATCGCTATAAAAACTCTCATGCCGAGGCGCACAATTTGAAATGCTCAAATCACCTACTCGTCCTTACTAAAGGAAGTTTAAATTATAGTAACGGGACCGTTACACACCCCTCTTTCCTATATAAAAATAAAAATGTTACATTTTTATTTTTGACTTAATCACTACCCACTTATTACCTACTACTTATAATACAAAATAGAAATCCTAAATCGAGAAAAGTTCCATCCGAGAACTATGGTACTCTAGAAATACCAAAAAAAATTGACCAATTTTGTGTTTAAGACAAATCCGGGAGCTGTAAGTTAAATCCATTAACTCTTGAAAGTTTGGAAGTCTATAAGTCTATAAATCTGGGAGTCTATAAATCTGGGAGTCTATAAATCTGGGAGTCTATAAATCTGGGAGTCTATAAATCTGGGAGTCTATAAATCTGGGAGTCTCGAGACTAAATTCAAATCCGGGTAATAATCACAAACATTCACCTATTCACTCTGCCATTCACGAGATCACTCATAACTAAAACGTTTATCCACTTCATTCATCACACGGGATTAGCCGGTTGATTGTAAGTTCGCTTGAGATCTTTTACATGCCATCTACCCAGATCTTTACCATTCATGTCTTCTAGTTTATACACCAGTGGGGATATGACCTCAGCAACCTTACACTTGACATATTTTGGTTCTAGTTTCGCCATCAATTGTTTGGACGCGTCCGATAAAACATAGTTCTTCTTCCATAATATTTCTCCTTTTTGGTAACAATCAGTCTCTCTTTTGCGGGTGTTATAAGAGTGACAATTCTTGCGATACGCTTCGTCGAGCTTTTGCTGAATTTCTTTCTGCAGGTCTGAGAGTTTATCGATGTTCTCTGCGTATTGATCTCGCTGATATGGATTTAAATTAAATTCATTTAATTCTGAAAGCTTTCCATAAATTTCGCCGTTAAGTGGTACGTGCCGTCCAAAGTTTAAAAAATTTGGTGTATATCCTGTAACTTCATGAACTGATGATCGTAAAGCGAAACCAATTTGCGAGATATTTTGGGTCCATTTCTTGTGGTTTTGTTCCTGTAGGTATGAGCGAATAGCGGCGCCAACCACTCGGTTGACACGTTCCACCGGATTAACTTGGGCATGATATTTACAGTTGTACCATAATTTAGACCCATAACGCGCAGCCAGATTTTGAAATAGAGAGCTCTTAAACTGGGTTCCGTTGTCACAGATTATTATCTGGGGACTACCGAAATATAAGATGACTCGTTCTTCCACAAATTTAGTGATGCTCTTTGCTGTCGCTTGTCGTAATGGCTCTAGGATAACAAATTTCGAAAACCAATCCGCGACGACTAGTAGGTACACATGACCAGTTGACGATCGGGGAAAAGGCCCCATCAAGTCGGCGGAAATGATCTGAAAAGGATAACTGGCTTGCTTAGGTTTACCCATGAAGCCTGGACGAGCGATAGTGGGAGTTTTCTGCGCCAAGCACACTTCGCAGCTCCGCACATATTTTTTAACGTCGTATCTCATTCTCGGCCAGTAGTATCGCTCCTGAATCCGATGCAGAGTCTTGTAAATGCCTAGGTGTGCCGAAGATGGATCGTCATGGCATTCCTTCATTACGGCTACGATAGCATTTTGGTATAAACAGCTTCCATTCTGGACCAGTTGCCCCTGGACTCACAGTTGAAAAATAACGATATAGGAGTCCATTCTGTACTGACCATTCCGTCGATTCTGGATCTTTCGTCACCTCATCAGATATTTTCTTAAAGAGAGGGTCCTCCAAACATTTTTTAATATCGAGTTGTAACAAGCTCACCTCGTGTACCAACGGTGCTCTGGAGAGGGCATCCGGAACCGTATTTAAACTCCCTTTACGGTGCTCTATCTCCATCTCATACTGCTGGATCTTCATGGCCCATCTAGCGAGTCTGCCACAGGGGTCGCGTAAACGGTTTAGCCAAAGAAGGCTATAGTGATCTGTTATCACCCGAAACTTTACTCCTTCGATGTAAGATCTAAACTTTTCTATACCATACAGAACCGCCAAGCACTCTTTCTCTGTAACCGTGTACTTTCTTTCTTGGGGTGTAAGAGTACGGCTGGCAAATGCCACCGGGACCTCCCGTCCTTCATCATCCTCTTGGACTAAGACAGAACCTAACCCTACTTCTGAGGCATCACTTTGAATACAGAAAGTTTTATCAAAATTTGGCGTCGCCAAAACCGGGGCAGCTACTAGAGCTTCTTTAATTTTATCGAAACTTCCCTTTGCTTCTTTTGTCCACGAAATTGTTTGGTGTTTTCGTTTACCCTTTATCATAGCTGTTATAGGAGCTGTCATTGTGGCAAAGTTTGCTAGAAACCGGCGATACCACCCACAGACACCGATGAATCGTTTAACTTGCGTCACTGTTTGCGGTAGGGGGTAATTCAACATAGCCGCCACTTTATCTGGGTCCGTCCTTAGTCCTTGCCTATCGATAACGAATCCCAGGTATTTAAGAGACGGTTTGCAAAATTGACATTTTTCAATGTTGATGGTTAAATTGGCCTCTCTAAATTTCTCATATATTTGCTCCAGCACTTCTATATGTTTCGAGAACGTAGGGGTCGCCACTATGACGTCATCTAAAAAAGTGAAGACGTAGGGCTCGAAGGCGGGTCCAAGGACAGAATCCATCAGACGTTGTTGCGTCTGTGCCGCGTTGTTAAGCCCAAATGGCAACACGTTGAATTCAAACAGTCCTCTGCCTGGTACTACAAAAGCGGTTTTCTCGCAGGAATCTTTCTCTAAGGGGATTTGCCAGAAGGCAGCTTTAAGGTCGATACTTGATAAAAATTGAGCACTATTCAGTTTATTTAATATTTGGTCTACCAGGGGAAGAGGGTATGCATCCTTCTTTGTCAGTGAGTTCAACTTCCTTCCATCAAAGCAAAAACGCATCTCTCCGTTAGATTTTTTAACTAGCAACACCGGAGAAGCCCAAGGAGATGTTGATGGTTGCACCACTCCCAGTTTCAGCATTTTATCTAATTCGGCGTTAAGGTGTGCTAACATGTAAGGTGACATGTTGTGATGTCGCTGCTTGATCGGCTCAGCGTCTCCTGTATTAATCTTGTGCTCAACCTTGTTTGTTCTGCCGAGTTTTTCGCCAGCTTCCCACGACAGAGTTTTGAACTTATCTTTAACAGCAGCCAACTGTTGCTCCTGCTCCTCGTCCAGTTCTTCTTCCGAGTGAATTCGATTAAGTACACTAACTTCTACAGGTTTCCTCGACCTACATTCTATGACCTTATTTCCTATAAAAAATTGATCGATGCCAAAATCAATCTTCAACTTAAACTGTTTGCAAAAATCACTTCCCAAAATAACCGTATGACAGATTGAAGGTACCAACAAGAATCTAACAACTTTACAAATGTCTTCTATTTGTACTGGCAGGTCTACGTATCCGGTAATTTTTTGACGTCGTCCCTCAGCTGTTCCAATGTCTGGTATTGCAGTATCATAAACATGCACGCTAGATGATTCAACCAGATGCATTCCTTTCTCTCCAATTACTGAATGACTAGCTCCACTATCGAGAAGAGCAGATACCTTAAAACCAAAGATGTCAATTGACACATAAGGCCTGTTATCTCCTACTCTACTGACTAAAAGAGCTTCAATCTGACTAGAATCTAAATTATGACTAGATGTTGAAAAATCACAATGTTGCGACATGTGCTGCTTCTCAAAATTTTTACCAATAAAAGAACTATCACGTACTTTTGAAATTTTCTGACTAGGAGTTCGATTATTTACATGCACAGCCTTCTTTTGCTGAATTCCGGACAGGGGTGGCCATCTTCTACCATTTCCCTGTCCCTTAACTAGTTTTTTGAGCAGTTAGGACAATTCGGGCGGATAACACCCGGTTTCCCACATCCTATACAAACAGGACCTTTTCGAGTTATTTTTCGGGGACAATCTCTTATGAAATGACCAAGTTTCTTACACCCGAAGCATGTTAATTCACCGATCTGAGCTGTGTGGTACGATCGACGATACCTTCTGTCTTCGTTGCGTGACGTCGACGGCTGCTCCTGTCCAACATTTTCAGTTCCTGTATAAGCAAGATCAGGTTCTAAAAGAGCGATACTTCTCCTAGGTGGTGGTTGGAATTTTTGTTGGCACTCGAAGGCTCCTTCTAGTTTCCTGCACACTTCCGTCAATTTACTAACCGACCGCGCATCAGTCAGTGCTATCTGTGTTTGAAAATTAGGCCGCAAATTTCTCTTAATTGTACGTAGCTGGACTTCTTCTGTTGGTCGTTCTGAAAGTCTGCTAAACAAATTCAACATAGCAGCTACATAGAACGTAACGCGTTCCTGTTGTCCTTGTGTACGATTTCGAATTTCGCGCCAAAGTTCTTCATCGTAGTCTGGTGGTAAGAAATCGCGCCTAAGTGCTTTGACCAATGCATCCCAAGTGTGTACCGATGATTTCACTGAGCGGAACCAGACCAATGCTTGCCCCTGAAACAAATCAAACGCTGATCGGAACAATTCTTCTTTGGTTGTACGACGTGCTATACGAATTTCTTCAATTCTCTGGATGAATGAATTAACAGCTTTCCCTTCAAAGGTTATACCCCACTTGTGGACGGGCGTTAACTTCGCTACAGCACCAGCTTGATTAACTTGTCCTACCTCAGAGACGTCTTCGCTTTCATTCTGGGCTCGTTCCAGTATCTCCAACCGCGTTTCATCTAAGGCACCCACTATAAGTGATTGATCTTCCTTATATTCTCTAATTTTGCCATCCGGGTCGGTTGTTGTCACGAATCTGCTCAACCTCCCCAACACATGACTTATCCTTGTTACTACCCTCTTGTTCATATCGGCTCTAGTACCATCAAAGTCGGCTAAAAGGTTCTGAATTTCATTTATAGAAGCATCCACTTCAGTCTTCTCATCCTCAAATTTAAATTCTGGAGTTACATAAGTCATCTCAGGCCTCACTAAATCTTCTCGCAACCGCCTACGCAAAGTCTTACGTTTAACATCAATATCAACTCTCTCTGATTTAACTCCTCTGATACGCAACTCGTAATTCAACTCAGAGAGTTTCAAATAATTGGGTTCAATCTCGAAAAACGCCATCTCAGACCACTCTAATAAATACCTACTATTCCGTACCTTTATAATCCCAATACTATACTCTCCAGTTCTCCACTTCAAGAAATAATCATACCAAAAGTGACTCAAATTTCTATACTGTTAAATAAAATAGGTACTGTTAAAGTGAATTCCCTTCAACTCAATTGCCTAGACAAAAATTAAAGCATTAATGAAACCAAAGGCCTCACGTTGTGGACGCCATTTTTGTGCAAAATCTTATCAGCAAACCCTTTTTTGTTCGCCTGACGTTGTATCGCTATAAAAACTCTCATGCCGAGGCGCACAATTTGAAATGCTCAAATCACCTACTCGTCCTTACTAAAGGAAGTTTAAATTATAGTAACGGGACCGTTACAATCTATCCCAACTGATATACGTGTCCTTGCAAAAATGTTGATGACGTCATCGCAATTTTTTTTAAATTCCCACTACAAAAATGTAATGAGAAAAAAACACAATAGCCATGCAGTCGTCAAGTTTCCAACAGCGAGGGAAGTACTGTCTAAACTCTTTAGACCAATTTTTTCCTTTGGGGTACTTTTGAAAAACGAAATTTAAATCGTCGAGAATGACAATTTGAAGGATCTACGTAATCGCATTGAAGTTATTGCGGAAAGAACTTACATCCCTAACTTTTTTGAAAATGTTCGAAATTCTTTTATTCGTCGAGCGAAAGCCTGTATTGAACGAAATTTTAGCCAGTTAATTCTTTTAATTTAATATTATTGTGTTGGTTACTACGTGTTGTCCAACTACTAAATGCAGGCAACAAAAAGGACAATTTTCCTAAGAAATATGATTGATCAATATTCCCTTTGACAATGCCATGAAAAAAGCAGCAATCCATCTACGACTAAAAAAGTAAAGACTGAATATCTAACATGTTCATTATCCAGTTACAGTCTCCCTTAACCTGTCTGCGGCCAAATTTGAATTCAATAGTGCGAAGAAACTTATTTCGGACATTTTAGAATTTCTCAGAGTCTACTTTACAAATCGGGGACCAAACAGGAGAAGAATAATAATAATCGAAATGCGACTGAATAAGAGAACAATAAAGAGATTTCAAAGCTCTAGGTGACAATGAATTAAATTGCAAAATCCATATTTGAGAACGGGTGGGTGGGCGGGGCTAAGTAAAACTTTTTCCTAGAGGGTCTTTTATAGGTAAGAAGTAGGCCCGCCCACCCACCCAACCCCCTCTTCATTCTGGTGACTACTCTTAATACTGTTAATTAAAAACAGATACATCGTTATTTTCCTCCTATAAATTATTGGATCTACACCTTATGGTTCAAGGATTTCTTCTTTGTTTGTAGTGATATTGATGTTTTATTCGCCATATTACGATTATATGAAACGTAGGTTAATGGCACATCAGATAAAAATTGGTCTAAAGAGTTTAGACAGTACTTCCCTCGCTGTCGGAAACGTGACGACTGCATGCCTATTATGATTTTTTTTCGCAGTGGATTTCAAAGAATTCGGTTTTGTAGTTCCTGAGTAAATCAATAAAATAAATTTACGCATTCATTAATTTTTTTGAGTCACCCTGTATATGCAAATCCAAAAAAAAATCAATGGAGTGATAAATCACAAGTACAGACTCATCATATTTTTACAGTTTAGATAGGATTTATTCGGCAAACTTTCGAGCTGACGTCATCAATTTTTTGGAGGGGATAAGCAAATATATTTTGACTAAACATTTATTATGCTCTATATAACCTTAAAACATCTGCAAGATTTCAAAGCATTCGGTTTTGTAGTTTCTGAGTAAATCAGTAAAATAAATTTACGCATTCATAAATTTTTTTGAGTCACCCTGTATATGCAAATCCAAAAAATATGAATGGAGTGATAGATCACAAGTATAGACTCATCATATTTTGTACATTTTAGATATGATTTATTCCACAACTTTTGAGCTGACGTCATCAAGTTTTTGGAGGGGATAAGCAAATATTTTTTGACTAAAGATTTATGATGCTCTTTATAGCCTTAAAACATCTGCAACATTTCAAAGCATTCTGGTTAGCAGATTAAAAATTAAATTTCAAAATGTTGTTTTATAATTTTGATTTTTTTTCCAAAAATCTGGACGTTTCGGGTGAAAAGTCGATTCGGAGTTGTAAACTAAATGTGTTGGACTATGTTATTTTATACAATTGAAAACCCATTTACTATGTACAATTTTGAAGTGACGTCATCGCATTAGTGGTGGGGATGATTAGACAAATTTTGGTTAGCGTTTTACCATCTACATGATATTCTTAATATAAGTACAAAATTTCACAACAATCGGTTGAGTACTTTCGGAGATTATCTGTCTAATAAAAATCCGGGACGGCAGACGGACAGACGGACAGACGGACAGACGGACGGACAGACGGACGGATAGACGGACAGACAGACGGAAATGGGAGACCTATTTCTTCGTCTTCTAGGGGTCATGAAATATCGAGAAAACGTAAAAGTAGAGAGTCGGCCGACGGACTCGATTACAATAGTTCCTTTGCTTACGCTCGGGAAGTAAAAATACAAAAAATATGGTGGGTAATAAAGAAAATATAAAATATGAACGTAAATAATCTAAACCAACCAACATTTTAGACAGTTTGTTATTAATTTTTAAATTCTTTAAATTTAAACTGTTAATATTTTATTTTAAACAATAAATTTCGTCTTCTTTCAGTAGCAATAAATTTTGGTAGGACTTTCTAAACACACGATTTGTAAATGAAATATATATAAATCTTGATATTTTTACTTCCCGAGCGTAAGCAAAGGAAGTATTGTAATCGAGTCCGTCGGCCGACTTTCTACTTTTACGTTTTCTCGATCTTTCATGACCCCTAGAAGACGAAGAAATAGGTCTCCCATTTCCGTCTGTCTGTCCGTCTGTCCGTCTGTCCGTCTGTCCGTCTGTCTGCCGTCCCGGATTTTTATTAGACAGATAATCTCCGAAAGTACTGGGCCGATTGTTGTGAAATTTTGTACTTATATTATGAATATCATGTAAATGGTAACACGCTAACCAAAATTTGTCAAATCATCCCCACCACAAATGCGACGACGTCACTTCAAAATTGTACATAGTAAATGGGTCTTCAATTGTATAAAATAACATAGTCCTATATATATGTCGTTTACGACTCCGAATTGAGTTTTTACCCGAAACGTCCAGATTTTTGGAAACAAAATCAAAATTATAAAACAACATTTTCCAATTTAATTTTGAATCTGCTAACTCGAATGTTTTGAAATGTTGCAGATGTTTTAAGGCTCTAAAGAGCATCATAAATCTTTAGTCAAAATATATTTGGTTATCCCCTCCAAAAACTTGATGACGTCAGCTCAAAAGTTTGCCGAATAAATCCTATTTAAAATGTACAAAATATGATGCGTCTGTACTTGTGATTTATCATTCCATTCAAATTTTTTCGATTTGCATATACAGGGTGCCTGATAAAAATTAATGAATGTGTCAATTTATTTTATAGATTTAATCAGGAATTACAGAACCGAATGCTTTGAAATCTTGGAGATGTTTTAAAGTTATCATAAGCATGGTAATTTTTTTATCAAAATGTATTTGGTCGTCCCCCCTAAAAAGTTTATCACGTCACCACAAAAATTTGCTGAATAAATCCTATCTAAAATGTACAAAATATGATGAGTCTGTATTTGTGATTTATCATTCCAATCACATTTTTTGGATTTGCATATACAGGATGACTCAAAAAAATTAATGAATGCGTCAATTTATTTTATTGATTTAATCAGGAATTACAGAACCGAATGCTGTGAAATCTTGGAGATATTTTAAAGTTATCATAAGCATGGTAAATTTTTTATCAAAATTTATTTGCTCATCCCCCCCTAAAAAAATTGATGACGTCACCCTAAAATTTGGTAAATAAATCCTATCTAAAACGTGAAAAATATGATGACTCTGTACTTGTGATTTATCATTCCATTCATATTTTTTCGATTTGCATATACAGGGTGACTCAAAAAAATTAATGAATGCGTGAGTTTATTTTATCGATTTAATCAGGAATTACAAAACCGAATGCTTTGAAATCTTGGAGATACTTTAAAGTTATTATAAGCATGGTAAACTTTTGTTCAAAATGTATTTGTTCATCCCTCCTAAAAAAATTGATGACGTCACCCTTAAATTTTGCTGAATAAATCCTATCTAAAATGCAAAAAATATGATAAGTTTGTACTTGTGATCTATCATTCCATTCATATTTTTTAGATTTTCTTAAGAGGTGGCTCAAAAAAATTAATGAAGTCAATTTATTTTATTGATTAAATTAAAGGCAACACTTATTATTAGTATTACATTGGACCAACCCAATTTGGTAGACACAAAATTTTGTAAAGTAAAAACTCGGTTGAAACATAAGGGTAGCACGCTTATTTACATCGACTTTAACATTACAGACTTGCATTTGTTTTATGCCCTGACTAGGTTCTGCGAATGTGGAATAGACATGTTTATAATCAACCAATTGTGAATTCCACCGTCAAAAATTAAAATAAAACCCAATGTTTTATATAATAAGCGGAAGTCGAAGCAATAAAACCGATGGTCGTTTTGTTTACAGTTTCTCTGTTTGACTCTCACGTATGCTGTTACGCTTGTAATCTTAAATTAAGAATGTTTATACATAAACGATTTTCAGTTGCCTCTCATATTACACACCGGCACCGTATACGTGAGTAAATTGTTTCGTTATTTTATTGATTTTAACAATTCAATATTCAAAACGACCCAATTCATTTTCCCGAAAATTTGGGAATACAATAATTTTATTCTTAGTATTACACTACATCTATCCCAACTGATACACTTGTCCTTGCAAAAATGTTGATGACGTCATCGCAATTTTTTTTTTAAATTCCCACTACAAAAATGTAATGAGAAAAAAACACAATAGGCATGCAGTCGTCAAGTTTCCGACAGCGAG